CTCGTCTCCCCTGTAGGGCTGGCCTGCCCCTCATGACCTATCTATAGCGCAGCTAGCAGACAAAGGACAAAGCAGCAAAGCATGAGTGCTCTACTCCCGGTGGGTTGGCATGGTGACCGTGACCCAGTGCTTCGTCCAGGGCCCTTCAGATGGCAACGCCCTCTCCTTCCAGATGCTCCACATGAACAATGCCGACTCTCAAGGTTGAGCGCACTCGAATCCTCACATGAGAGGACTCTCACGACAGAACACACATCCTCACGGTGAGAAGTGTCGAAGAGGGTAGATAAGGTTAAGAGCAACGTACCTCAAAATAGCTGCCCCCAACCACATATATTCTCACCACATGACATGACGTCGATTGTGATGACCAATCATTGCCTTGGCACAACCAGCATTATACTGCCGTTCCACCTCAGCATCAATCGCACATCAGATAGTTCTCATCACACTGTGAAACACCCAATATCACTACTCAGCCTTCCTGGTGATACCCCTCTCCACCTGGGTCTCCTCTTTGCCTTTGCCCTCCTCACTGCACACTACCCACGGTCACTCACCCAGCTAACCGCGTGCATGCACCGCATAAGCAGAAGACAAGCGCCAGATTAGCGCAACGTACCACAGCTCCGATACCAAAATGCAAGGAAAATGAGCAATAGTGAATTCCAGAAAACCAAGCAGCATCATACACATGAAGCCAGATAGTGTTGACCTCGAACCAAAAGCAGAATTGCAACTTGAGTTCCACCAAATAAGAGCACAGCAAAAGCTCACAAGTGACAATGTTGGAGTAGTCTCATCATCATTAACAATGAACCAATGTTGAATCCCTATCTGGCGCTCAGCGCCCAGACTACGAATGGCAGATCCTACGGATTCCTGCCTAGCCTATGTACAATGCCGCTGGTGACGTCAACAACCTCCTGAAGTACGAGCAGATCTCGGCCAATGCCGTTCGCCTCAAGCACCAGGTATGTGTCACGCTTCACTCATAACCTCGATCCCGCACAACATGCCACGTGCACCCAAGAACCACCATGCGCCCCATCCAGCAACGCGCAGGCCAGCTTGGCTATGGCTGCCTACTTCTTCCCTGCTCGCCCGTGAGCGCGTAGCTGGCCAGCAGCGCTTGCGCATAAGCAGCGAGTGCCCGAATGTGCGAGCAGCGCTTGGCTATGATGAGAGTACAATGCCGTCCAATTCCAAGAAGAAATGAATGAACTTGATAGGAGATAGAGGGTAAGAAGAAGAAGAAGACGAAAGAAACAAGAAGAAGATGATGTACACCACCATAGACAAATGATAATGCTCTTCTTCTTCGCCAACCACTCTCCTCCTCCTTATCTCCTCCTCTCTTATTCATACAAGAAATAATAATAATAATGTTGAATGGCTGAACTAGCATCAATGTCCGAATCCCTCTTCTACTGCAGGTATCAGATGAGGTCCACCATAGCCATGGCCGCCCTTCTTCCTCCTTTGTCTAAGGCCGAGGCTATGGCGGACTACTAGGGCCTCACCCTGATGTCCAAAGGACAACACAAAGCAGCTATGGCTGCTCTAGCTCAGGCCGCCGTGCCTGACTCTGCCTCGAAGCTTCTTGGTGTAGCTCTACCCCAACTGGGACCTTCCTGCTGCAGCGTCCACTAAGGTGATGAAGATGGCATCCACCATAGCCAGGTAAGTACCTCTGGGGACAGAGGGTATCGTGGACCACGGGCAGGACAGCTAAGTGAGAGTACAAAGGCTAGCTTGGACAATGGGGGAACTCTTTCTAGGTGACATTGATCTATCTGACAGATCTGGTTATCTGATCTGAGAGGAAAGAGTGAGGCACGGCAAGCTGACAGTCAATCCTCCATCAAGATGGAGTAATCAATGCTGATCAGGGGTCCTTCGGCCAGATGGAAGGAACGCATGGGTGGTTTATGTTTATTGTAATGTCTATCCTGACTTGCCGGTGGAATAGGAACCGGACTGTCGCTCCCCAGAATGGAAAGGAGCCAGGACCATAAGGCCCTGTTTAAGCCAGGACCATAAGGCCCTGTTAAAAAAAAAAAAAGTACCTCTGGCGCTCCTCCCTCCTAGTCCTAGTCTTCTTCCTCCTCCTGTCCTTGCTCCTCCCCAGCAGTGCTGCTCCAGCTCCAACCAGTGTGTCGCCAAACTTGCACACCGACGACAAGGCTGAGCTCTTGGCTCAGCCGGAAGATATAGCGGCCTACTTGCCTCTTGGCCGGTGACTTCCAGGCCGCTCGGCCTTCCAAGCAACCTGTACCCCCTCCCTTTCGGAGGGAAACATCATTGCAGACTCTGATATTGCCCGTACAGGCCCTAGACTCAGACTGGTTGGACTGGTACCCGCCTAGACCTAGCCTCAAACTACTGGGCCTCTAAATATGCCAACTTTTGTTTTCCTCTGCTCGGCCTCAAGTACCCGGAACATCTACCTCTAAATGGTGTGGTAACGGCCTACCTGCTACTTGAGTGTTTCCCGGTGCTTCAAGTGTCACGGGCCTCTTTCCTCGCCACTTGAGTGCTTTCCCCGCTGCAATCCTCAATGTCACGGCCACAGGTAAGTACCGGCCCTTCGGGCCCATCGAACGAACAAGTGCCCTTGCAGGTCACACACACACTCAAGCCGATAAGCACTCAGTCAGACATGCAGATCAGCAAGCTTGCACACACACAGACTTAGAGAACTCAGTAGCAAGCGGGAAACTCAGCAAGGCATTCAGTCCATGAGCAAAACTCGGAAATCAGCTGTGTGTCTCAGTCCGTGTTTGGTCAGGTTATTACGCATGACATGTCAGTCTGTCCTACATGAGTGCAGTAGTGACTGTCATCATACGTATGAAAACAAAAACTGGCATGGACTATCCCCTCATAATCCTCACGGCACAAGGCATGTAAACCACATCCTAGCCGAATCTCAGGTGGGTCATCATAGAGCGGCATTGAGCAGGTTTCATGGGTTTCCCCAGTATTTTATTCCCTCTGTATGGGCTGACGACGACGGGTATTGATCCAAGGCCAGGGTGTGTAGCTGCTGCAGGATTTGGTCTCCAACAGCTCGCCTTGGTGGTGATATCCTTTTAGTACAGCACTCTGTAGGTGGTTCAAATGGTAGTCTATTTTCCTCCTCAGGCTGCTGCATTTGTCGCTCGTCTGGCAAGGGTGAAAGAGATCCGACAGCAGGTGTATGCCCAATACTGCATGTGGGACATGCTAGGAGAGGATTTGCCGGGTGATGACATCGAGCATAGTCCACGCAGTAGGGACACATACTTTCTATGACATTCCCGGAAACATTGACGACACATGGCATGTTGCTGACATGTTAGGAGGAAAGCAGGCTTTGGTTTGCAATTATTTAAGCATGGCATGTCAAGGCCACAACGGCAACTACGCAAGTAATTGGAGGGTGGGGGGGATGAGTACAAGAGAATCGGTCACAGTTTTCGTGGCAGAGGCTGGCAGCGACCATCCCTTCATAGTGCTTGGAGCAGAGACTATGTGGTGT